AATACACCTTTTTCAATTTCGCAAAGGCGGCACCCCATAAGGGTGCAATTTGGCACCCTTGGTTATCCAGTGCGATAGAGTAATATGGATAAGGTGGGACGTTAGAGTCGTTAACTTAATTGGTAATTTGGATAAGATGGGACGTTATAGTCGTTAACTAAATTGGTAATTTGGATAAGATGGGACGTTAGAGTCGTTCACTTAATTGAATCGTTGGTCTGTGCCCTGGCAGGGTGCATTTCACCCGCAAGGCAATCCAGTGAGCCCTATGGTGCCTACGTTCATTTTAAACAGTGCAATAGACACTGCGTCAGACTTTCTTCTGAGATGGCAGCAACGCGCTGGGACAGGCACGCTAGTACCAGCTAAAATGTGTTTTGAAGTCTGCATCATCTCATTATTAAAATTTGAGTAGGCCTGCTGTATGCTACTGTATCATTTTTGCAGACATCTTCACATTTTTTTTACCCCCACCCGACATTACAGTCTGTTGGGGGTAAAATGTCTGGTCACAGGCGGTTTTTGCACCCTAGTTGCATTTTACCACATGGCCATTTCACATTTTTCATCTGGCATTTTCCCAAGATTCTAATAGATGTACTAGTGCTACTAGATGTACAAGTAGCTAGGGTTAGGGTTAGTAATAAGTATTATAAAAACACTAATCACAGTAGCTAGGGTAGGGCTAGTAATAACTATTATCAAAATGCTCAACTACCTGGAATAACTAATCACAGTAGCTAGGGTTAGGGTTAGTAATAACTATTATCAAAACACACAACTACCTGGAATAACTAATCACAGTAGCTAGGGTTAGGGTTAGTAATAACTATTTTAAAAACGCTCTACAACTACCTGGAATAACTAATCACAGTAGCTAGGGTTAGGGTTACAACTACCTGGAATAACTAATCACAGTAGCTAGGGTTAGGGTTAGTAATAACTATTATCAAAATGCTCAACTACCTGGAATAACTAATCACAGTAGCTAGGGTTAGGGTTAGTAATAATTATTATAAAAAGGCACTACTACTACCTGGAATAACTAATCACAGTAGCTAGGGTTAGGGTTACAACTACCTGGAATAACTAATCACAGTAGCTAGGGTTAGGGTTAGTAATAACTATTATCAAAATGCTCAACTACCTGGAATAACTAATCACAGTAGCTAGGGTTAGGGTTAGTAATAACTATTATCAAAATGCTCAACTACCTGGAATAACTAATCACAGTAGCTAGGGTTAGGGTTAGTAATAATTATTATAAAAAGGCACTACTACTACCTGGAATAACTAATCACAGTAGCTAGGGTTAGGGTTACAACTACCTGGAATAACTAATCACAGTAGCTAGGGTTAGGGTTAGTAATAACTATTATCAAAATGCTCAACTACCTGGAATAACTAATCACAGTAGCTAGGCTTAGGGTTAGTAATAACTATTATCAAAATGCTCAACTACCTGGAATAACTAATCACAGTAGCTAGGGTTAGGGTTAGTAATAATTATTATAAAAAGGCACTACTACTACCTGGAATAACTAATCACAGTAGCTAGGCTTAGGGTTAGTAATAACTATTATCAAAATGCTCAACTACCTGGAATAACTAATCACAGTAGCTAGGCTTAGGGTTAGTAATAACTATTATCAAAATGCTCAACTACCTGGAATAACTAATCACAGTAGCTAGGGTTAGGGTTAGTAATAATTATTATAAAAAGGCACTACTACTACCTGGAATAACTAATCACAGTAGCTAGGGTTAGGGTTACAACTACCTGGAATAACTAATCACAGTAGCTAGGGTTAGGGTTAGTAATAACTATTATCAAAATGCTCAACTACCTGGAATAACTAATCACAGTAGCTAGGGTTAGGGTTAGTAATAACTATTTTAAAAACGCTCTACTACTACCTGGAATAACTAATCACAGTAGCTAGGCTTAGGGTTAGTAATAACTATTATCAAAATGCTCAACTACCTGGAATAACTAATCACAGTAGCTAGGGTTAGGGTTAGTAATAATTATTATAAAAAGGCACTACTACTACCTGGAATAACTAATCACAGTAGCTAGGCTTAGGGTTAGTAATAACTATTATCAAAATGCTCAACTACCTGGAATAACTAATCACAGTAGCTAGGCTTAGGGTTAGTAATAACTATTATCAAAATGCTCAACTACCTGGAATAACTAATCACAGTAGCTAGGGTTAGGGTTAGTAATAATTATTATAAAAAGGCACTACTACTACCTGGAATAACTAATCACAGTAGCTAGGGTTAGGGTTACAACTACCTGGAATAACTAATCACAGTAGCTAGGGTTAGGGTTAGTAATAACTATTATCAAAATGCTCAACTACCTGGAATAACTAATCACAGTAGCTAGGGTTAGGGTTAGTAATAACTATTTTAAAAACGCTCTACTACTACCTGGAATAACTAATCACAGTAGCTAGGCTTAGGGTTAGTAATAACTATTATCAAAATGCTCAACTACCTGGAATAACTAATCACAGTAGCTAGGGTTAGGGTTACAACTACCTGGAATAACTAATCACAGTAGCTAGGGTTAGGGTTACAACTACCTGGAATAACTATTCGCAGTAGCTAGACCAGACAATCAAATTTTAAAACTTTCCTCCTACTTGTACTAGGTCTAGAGTACAGAAGTGCTAATACGTCTCACTAGTGAAGTTATAAACTATGTGCTAATCTTCTCTCAACTTTGATCTATGTTTAGCTTCTATTCAGAGCACACACATTTTTAGAATTTTGTTTTTGTCTGTTTATTTCTCCAACAGACAGTGAGAGGATATAAGCTCCTTGTGAATTTGATCTAGTGTTGGCAGCAATAGGTACTTACCCTTGAAAGTTGATTCTAGATCAAGTAAAAACAAAACAAATTGACTATTTTTAACAATTTAAAAATGTTTAGTATTGTAATGCTCTAAATCTAGTATATATATATATATATATATATATATATATATATATATATATATATATATATATATATTTATGTGCATATATATAGAAAGATAGATAGAGATAGAGACAGATTGATAGATATATATCCATATATATAAAAATGAAAGTATGTATGTGTGTTTGTGCTTTCCCATGAGCGCTATGGTGCCTATGTTAGTTTAAATTGAATCGTGCGTGTCCACTGGCACCTAGGGAGGTTGCGATTAGGCGCCTTGCGATATCCTGTGAGCACTGTAGCCTCTACATTAATTTTAAGGGGCACCTTGCAATATTGACAAGGTGGCACACGACATTTGATGCTAAACCAAGCCAGGGGCTGTATGCTGTGCCCCTGCGCTAGTGTTATCAAGGGCTCCTAAGGGCCCTTCTACGTTGCGGACAACAAGGCGGTCGACGAAGTGTGTTCTACCTCACTATTTTGGTGAGTGATTAGTGTTCTACCTCACTATTTTGGTGAGTGATTAGTGTTCTACCTCACTATTTTGGTGAGTGATTAGTGTTCTACCTCACTATTTTGGTGAGTGATTAGTGTTCTACCTCACTATTTTGGTGAGTGATTAGTGTTCTACCTCACTATTTTGGTGAGTGATTAGTGTTCTACCTCACTATTTTGGTGAGTGATTAGTGTTCTACCTCACTATTTTGGTGAGTGATTAGTGTTCTACCTCACTATTTTGGTGAGTGATTAGTGTTCTACCTCACTATTTTGGTGAGTGATTAGTGTTCTACCTCACTATTTTGGTGAGTGATTAGTGTTCTACCTCACTATTTTGGTGAGTGATTAACGTACACTGCAAGGTTTCATACAGTATGCCAAGGGGCGTGCTGGGCAGTAGTGTAGTAAGTAAACCTGTGTCCTGATAAATATGATCCTAGGTATTGTTTACATTTAATAAATAACTCAGCTTTATAAAATGAGGTCACACATCTAAGAATATAGGATTGCTAATGCATTGATGAAACCCTCTCAAAATATTTTGTCAGACTTTCTTCTAACTGCGCAGCAACGTGGGTGGCCGGGCACACTAGTAGATATATAAAAATGTGTGTTTATCCTTATTTTACTACACCTTTATCAGATTGTCATGAAACTTATGAAAGTTGTTGAGAATATTCCTGGGAAGGTTTCTGTTATGAAAAAAATTAAATAAAATGAGCAGAGGTTGCATATTGGAGGCCATAGCTCCCAGGCCATAATCTTAGCATCCGGGATCTGTTGGCATACTACAGGGGTATTCCCTGGCCATCAGTCAAACCACGGTCAGTCAAACCATGGTCAGTCAAACCACGGTCAGTCAAACCACGGTCAGTCAAACCACGGTCAGTCAAACCACGGTCAGTCAAACCACGGCCAGTAAAACCACGGTCAGTCTAACCACGGTCATCATCTGGCAGTAAGGTACAGTAGGGCGCCACCAGTTTATCAGTGACATCTGAGCACCGGGGGTCCATTGACATGGTCGGGGGTCCATTGACATGGTCGGGGGTCCATTGACATGGTCGGGGGTCCATTGACATGGTCGGGGGTCCATTGACATGGTCGGGGGTCCATTGACATGACCGGGGGTCCATTGACATGACCGGGGGTCCATTGACATGGTCGGGGGTCCATTGACATGGTCGGGGGTCCATTGACATGGTCGGGGGTCCATTGACATGGTCGGGGGTCCATTGACATGGTCGGGGGTCCATTGACATGGTCGGGGGTCCATTGACATGGTCGGGGGTCCATTGACATGGTCGGGGGTCCATTGACATGGTCGGGGGTCCATTGACATGGTCGGGGGTCCATTGACATGGTCGGGGGTCCATTGACATGGTCGGGGGTCCATTGACATGGTCGGGGGTCCATTGACATGGTCGGGGGTCCATTGACATGGTCAGGGGTCCATTGACATGGTCGGGGGTCCATTGACATGGTCGGGGGTCCATTGACATGGTCGGGGGTCCATTGACATGGTCGGGGGTCCATTGACATGGTCGGGGGTACATAATTGTCAACC